CCTTGAGTAGAGAAAACCGCAGCTGGTGCAGACCCATCCCTCCTGCATCTGGTATAGGGAGAATTGCCAGGACTGTCAGCACAATACAAGAGAAATCTTTAGGGTGCTCAAAAATATGCACTGGTACAGCCTAGTTGAAGATCAGAGGTTGCAAAGATAACCAAAAGCAACCTTTGTTTCCCTCCCCTTCCTATCTTGTGCTGAGCACAGTTCAGCCAGTCTGGAGAATCTGCCTCATAGTTAAATATCCAGGGAGAAAACTTGGCCCCACTGAATCAATAGCAAAATTCCTATTGTCTTAAATGGGGACAAGATTTCTAGAGCTCTGCGTGGATGCAAAATTTGTATCTGCATCCATCTGCGATCTGCAAAAATGGTCTGTGGATATAAAGCAGATATCCACTGATTTGCAGGAATCTAAAGATTTCACCCCTGTTTTGTCCCTTTTGCAAATATTTGCTGCATATAAATTACGCATAATATTGTTTTGTCACAGCTTCAGCAATTTGTCAGTGTTTGCAACAGCACTGTGAATGACAACAAAGTCAGCCTAGAAAAGTTTGAAGTCATACCTTTTATGTGACATATTATACCCCACCAGCAACCTCCAGGATGTCAGCAACATTACATCTTTCCAGGAGATTTCATACTCTGCACCGTGGGAAACCAGTGGTGTTCCCCAAGATGTGTTACAGTATACTGCAGATATTTCTAGTAGTGTTGAGAATTTGCATGAAATAGGCCAGGACCATGTGATATTTTCAAAAGTTAAGGAGGAAATAGGAGAGAACCTGACATTTATTTTGACAGTTGCATTGATCTATAGTATGAAGATAAGTATTTTAATTAATTTGATTTCATATTCTACCATCTGGCTAACTTAGAATACTACAGATGCTAATGTGCAGTGATGATTCAGCTGCAGAAACATTTCAAGACAAGTCAATAACTGTTTGCATAATTCCATTCTGAATAGGAAATTTTTTAAAGAAACTAAATTCTGGGAAGAAGGATATGAGAACACCCAAGAACATTTCAAAGCCAGTGTGTTGTAAATGGCTTATCTAGTAATTTTGCTTCAACCATAAATGCAAAAGCAAAATATGTTTTGTCAAATTGAAAACATCTGGCTCTTGGAAAACTGTACCTAGAGGTAAGTATTGATCTCTAGAGTACTCTACCTTTGAATCTGGGCATAGGGGCTGTATTTCCCTATTCAAATTATGATCTCATTTTGAATCTAACGGTGTACTCCAAAGCACTTCCTCCTCTATGTACCACAATTGTTGCTCTTTACTCCTTTTTTATGTACAATATAGCAAGTATCTAAACATTGCAAAAACAAAGCTAAGACATTTATATTTGCAATACTAATGGCTCTCTTCCCTCTCTCTGCTGGAAGATATCAGCAAGTTCTTTAGAAAACTTGAATGTAAGAAACCTGTAGCGTGAGCTGCACCTGTCCCTCATCCCTGATAAAGCGATGTGAATGCTGATGCTTAGACTAAGCCCTTGTTAAAATGATTTAATAGAAAAGAGCACCCAACTGAAGGAAAATTTGCTTCATTAATATGCACACCCTTTCTCAAAATTACTTCATCTTTGAAGTACTTGTTACTTTAGTACTGAATAAGGTTGTAGTATTCTCATGATCACAGATTTAATGGAAAACAAAAGTTAACTGTTGTAAAATGAGAAATTTCAGCTTTGTACAAAAAGCAAAAATTGGCAAATTGAGAGAGAATCCTGACAGAGGGGAATGTTATTGACCAATCACTATCACTGAGGTGGAGAATGTAGGAGAAAAGTGGAATTAGGGATGATTTGGAGCCAGCTGGCCTGCTGTTGGGCTCTCTCAGTTAAGTCTGTAAGGGACCTGGGAAGAAGCAGAAAGAAAACCCAGAGGATCTTAGGAAAAAGAAGATATAACTCTTCACCCTTGAGACAGTACTGTTTACTCATGAAGTGTCAGGACCTCTTTCTGCTGAACTTGTTCATTTTCTTTGCATCTCTCTGCTTTCAGTGGTCTAGTGCCTGATTTTCAAAAGAGCTCAACACCCGTAATTGGGACCAGATTTTGAAAAGCAGCTCCCATTCAGAACTTAGATTCTGTGTTGTGCTTTTCCTGGGATATTGTTCTACAAGACTAGAAATCTGGAAGAAGTCCAGTCCATCTTGAAAGTGATCTTTTAGCAACACAGACACATGGAGGATCAGGGCTATTCCAGATTTTCAACATTAGACAGCAGTATCCCAACAAAACCACAATTTAAAATCAGTTGGACTGACTGAAAAAAAAAAATCACCATTTGATGTGACAGGCATGTGAAGAACATTTCCCAGATTTGACAGATAATCCAGTTAGTTGTCTGTGTACAAGTGTTAAAAGTAGAGCTGGTTAGGAATTTTTTTAACGAAACTTTTTTTTTTTTTTGGGTCAAAAACTGACTCTTTTTGTCAAAATTGAAACAGTTTTGACAAATCGGATTTAAAAAACCATTGAAAGAAGTTGTTGAACAAAAACATTGACAGTTTGTCAATGACAAATTTCAATTCTGCAGTTTAAAATGACTTTTTGTTTAGAAATATAAGCTATTTAGACTGAAAAAAGTTAAAAAATGTTGAAATTGAAACAGTGTGTTTCAAAATCAATCAAAACAAAATGTTTTGATTGACCCAAAGTGAAATTTTGTTCGGTTTTCTATTTGAGATTTTGACTTTTTGTCTTGATTCAGGATGGGATGAATTTTCAACTCTCAAAAATATTTGAGGTATGGGAAAACCATTTGCCACCCAGCTCTAGTTAAAATAGTCATTGTCAAGCTATGCTACACTGCTACGTCAGAAACACAGGAGCATAAAACCAGAGAATGTTCATCTGCAACAGAATAATCTGAAATGCTAACGCATTTTTCTACAGTAGAAGTTGCAGGATGTTTGAGCAGATGTTGCAGAAATCTGTAATGCTTTTGAATTTATACAAAAGTTACTCTTAGGGCTTGGCTACACTTACATTTTATAGTACTCTAACTTGCTGGCTCAGGGGTGTGAAAAATCACCCCCCTGAGCACAGCAAGTCAGAGCGCTCCCAGCGCTCTGGTGGAGGTGGATTACCAGGAGGTCTGGGAGAGCTCTCTCCACCGCTTGCATGCAACCACTCTCTCACACTTCAAAGCGCTCCTGCAAAGTTTCCAGCGTAGCCATGCCCTTAGATTCTTGGAATTTTCATAATAAAGTTCCAGGTCAGTGGGAGCTGCTAGATCAGAGGTAGGCAAACTATGGCCCGTGGGCCACATCCAGCCCACGGGACTGTCCTGCCCAGCAATTGAGCTCCCGGCTGTGGAGGCTAGACCCTGGCCGCTCCCCTGTTGTCCCCCTCCCCCTCAGCCTCAGCTCGCCATGCCGCCAATGCTCTGGGGGGTGGGGCTGCGAGCTCCTGCCAGGCAGCATGGTGGTGTGGCTGGCTCCGGTCAGGCGGCATGGCTGCCAGTCCTGGTGCTCTGAGAGGCATGATAAGGGGGTGGGGCGTGGGAAGGTTGGATAAGGGGCAGAGGGTCCTGGTGGGCAGTCAGGGGACAAGGAGCAGGGGTGGTTGGATAGGTGTGGGAGTGCTGGGGGGGCCTCTCGGGGTATGGATAGGGGTTGGGGCAGTCGGGGACAGGGAGCAGGGTGGGTAGGATAGGCGGTTAGGGGCAGGGGACCCTGGGAGGGGGCGGTCAGGGGCCAAGGAGCAGGGCGGGTTGGATGGGTCAGGAGTTCTGAGGGGGGCTGTCAGGGGGTGAGAGCCAGGCAGTGGGAAGTGGGAGGGGGCGAGGGCCAGGCTGTTTGGGGAGGCACAGCCTTCCCTACCTGGCCCTCCATAGTTTCGGAACCCCCATGTGGCCCTCTGGCCAAAAAGTTTGCCCACCCCTGTGCTAGATGCTTAGCACTTTTGAAAATCTGAACACTTGTTTAGGTACCTCGCTATGGATTTAGGAAGATCTTATTTTTAAAAAAAATGTTGACCTGGAAGTGCTGGGCAAGAGCACTGCTGTTTGAGAACCTTCCTTTGGACTAAACTGCATGGTGTGTATATAAGTGCTGATGCAGTGGGTTTACAGCTATTCCACCTGTAAACCACTTTTCTCTCTTTATACTAGCTTTTAACTGCAGGATTATAGGCACTGAATATTTACCAGAACTGGAAGGCTGATTAACGGGGGTTAATCAGTCACACTCTGCTGCATTACTCTCTGGAGAGCTGCCAGCAGACCAAATGAGATGGTGATCCAGAGTAGGCTGCTCTGGCGCACACATGGATGAACCTAGGGTTACCTTTACCTGTAGATTCTAGCTACTGCTCTGCTGTGTTGCTGAGGAAAGCCAGTGGAAAGTGTAGTAGAATTGGAGATTGGAGATAGACTGGACTGACGTGTAAAAGTGTGCACACACACCTCCACCCCAAGGGACCTGGTCAGCTGGAACAGGGATTCTGGTGATATGGGCGAGATCACTCTGCTACATTGCTGGCAGAAGCTAGTGGAAGATAATGATGATATGCATCTGGCACTGGACTGACAAATGCATTGTCTGTGGGAGCAGGAAGGAATGCAGATTCAGTTCAGGATCCTCAGGCTGCCTAAGAGCAAGGTCAACAAGTTATTACTGAAAATCCAATTAATCTGAAGTTGTCAGCAATTCGTGAGAGAAAATTCTCACACGTAAAGCTTTGTGGTGTAAAGAACAGTGATCCTAGGCCTGCTCTTTTGGATGGAGGTACAGAACACTGGAGTTAGAATGCAGTGCTGCAGCTGTCCAGCAGAGTAGACTGAATTCAACAGTGGGAGAAAGAGGAGAGGAAAAAGCCCAAACTGTGGCCAAATGAGCCCATCATATACATAAGTCATGCCCAAATCATTGTACGCTTATGCATGAGAAATGCCTACTAAAATTAATAGGAGATATATGCCACTACTAAAAAAATAGGTTAACATTAAGAAATCCAGGATATCACCAAATAATTCAATCAAGTTGACATTACTTTCCGCTTTATTAATTTTCATAGTAAGTTTTCTATCATTTCAAATGCTAGTCTAGTTTATGATGCAGATTTTTAGGTTTTATTACAAGTTTTGCATCCTGAAATTATTTGCATTTAAAGAAAGTTAAACAAAAACACAACCACTGTCAGCTGTTTACTTTAGGATATAGGATTCCAATTTCACTAGAAACAAGGACTATTTTAATTTCCCATGTATTGAGGATTTGTCTCCAAATATACTTAACACACACTATTTCATAAATGTAAAGAACCACACGTCAGTAGAAACTAGTCTTACAGTAGAGACAAGTTCTCTTAACATTGAAACTTGAATTTTCTAATTCGTAAAAAAAAAACCTTGGTCCACATACAAAGTAAAATGGGTAAATACAGGTTTAATCAGAGCAAATGCTTTCTTTTTATTCAGTTCCAGTTGTAGCGCTCTCTTGGAGGTAAATCATAATGTGTTCTCTCCTCCTCTTCAGGTCTGTAATCTAATGGCAAACCATAATTGTAATCAACTGTTACAATGGGTAATCTTTTGCCTTGCTCCATATCTCTTGTAAATTCACCTTGAAAAGGTTTCCTTTCATAATCAGTTGAATCATCTTCCTGGTGTATGGATGAGGACAGATGCATTGTGCGTGAAGAATATGGCGCAAATCTGTTTTTCCCCCCTCTGTTAAATTCATCTGAAGGACGTGTTCTCCTATTATCTTCAGGACAGCTAGGCCGATTACTATAATAAAACCAAATATTAACTGTACAATTCTTAGATATACAATATTTCAATAATGATAATTGGCATTAAATTCTAAAATGGTGTACCTCTGAAAAGAAATTATAGGTAAGTAATTTACCCTTTAGTACACTGGAAATGGAAAAAGTCATCTAGCTCCAAATTCTTGCCTTTTAATGCTTCATCTTAATACTACATTGCAACTTCATTACTCTCCTCAATACCCTTCTTCGTTCTTAGAGACAAATTTACCTGTGTTAACTTATTCGTATTTGTAATATTTGCCTTCTTTTGAATTAAGTTGACTACCCTTTCTGTAAGGTAGTTCTACCAGGAGTTCCCTATTTATTAATAGTTCCTTCAATTTTGGATCATGTTTCTAGTTTTAAGCCCCTAAATAATGTGGGGAAAAAAATCAACATCCACTTTATCTTTCCTTTGGAATACATAATAGTAGCACTGTACTGCATGTTCTCTATTACAATAATATTGTTCCTATGATATGTTGACTTAGGATCTAATAAGTACCATATGGCATATATTATAAGGGTGTGTACACACACAAACATTGCTTTGTATTCTATCTCTCTGGTCACAAAAAATTTGTAATGGTGAGAATAAATAACCACTGGAACAATTTACCAAGGGTTGTGATGGATTTTCTATCACTGACAACGTTTAAATCAAAATTGGGTGTTTTTCTAAAAGATACGGTCTAGGAATTATTTTGGGGGCATTCTATTGCCTGCAAGGGCATCAAACTAGATGATCACAATACTCCCTTTTGGCCTTGGAATCTATGAATTTAGCATATATACCATATCTTGGCTCCCAGGGTAAGTTATAGTATTTCATATTTACCTTCTTTGTACTACATTTGCCACCTCTTATCCAATTACCTACATCAGAGGTTCTCAAACTGTGTCATAGCATGGACTACATTTTTAAATAGAGAAACTGCCTTGTGAAACACCTCCCTCATATTCACATAGAACACCACCCCCTGTCCTATTCATGATTACATCATCCCAATTGTTCACATGGAAAAGTAATATGAATTCAGTGTAACTTTTGCAGCATTTAATGCAATGTAGCAACTAGAAACAAAGAGGATGGCCAGCACTCCAACAACCACATTTAGGAACCACTGATTTAATCAATCCAAATATTTTTGTATCTGGTTTCACTGTCTCTCATAATTTTGCTCATTTTCAGGTTCAGTATCACCTGCAGATTTTGAGAATTTTGGTTCTAATCCTGTAAAATACTTAACGCAAGTGAATAATTTCATCAACTGGTGTTAATGTTAGTTAGAGAATTAGAACTGAGAATTATGAGGGACTATGAAACCAGATTCACAAGATTTGGATTGTTTAGGTCAGTCATGTCCTAACTGGTCCTTGGAATGCAGGTGTTCTCTGTTTCTAACTAGCTAGTTTGCAAGTTTGGGACTTTTTGGTCTCAATATCACACATTCAAATCACGTACACAAATGAAAAAAAGTCTTCTATCAGTTTCTAAATAGCTTTCATGGTCTGGTCCAACTCACAGAAAGTCAATGGAAAGACTCCTACTGATTTTTCTGGTGTTTGGATTGGGCCCTCAGTGCCGATGATTTGAGCTGTGCGCTATATGACAGCAGCATGGAAGAACTTTGAAGAAGAATATATCCCAAGTTTTTACTTTGCTTTAAGAATGAGTTCACCATGTAGGGAGTGTTAAATAATTTCTAGTTAAAAATATGATTGCATTAATGAGCATCAGTGTTATGAAAAACATAGGTTTCAGAGTAACAGCCGTGTTAGTCTGTATTTGCAAAAAGAAAAGGAGTACTTGTGGCACCTTAGAGACTAACCAATTTATTTTGTTGCACATTAAACTCAGGATTTTGTTTTTTGCCAATTAATTTGATGCCTGTAATAAAAAAAAAACCAGACATATGGCATAAGACCACATATAAGCTTTTGTTCCTTTACAATGGAATGATTTGTGAAAACCATGCTACCAGATAAGGATTTCCCAGTGATAGCCAGAGTACGTACTTCAAAATCCTGATTTTCAGACCCATGTGCAACTTTACTGTCTCTGGTATCTAAAATTCCGGTAACAAGCACTGTATATTATAATAACTCCTCCATTATCAGATATAATTATACACATGTACGAATTTCATAATACATTTCCATTATAAATTGCTTATATTGCAGTTTAGCGAGAACAAATATCTAGTTTGACAACTGCACATCCAATTTAAATTTCTATGGTCATGGTGGCAAAGGGATGTGTAGACGAGTACGTAGATTGATATGCAATATATGAATGCTGATATTTACCTGTAACTTCTACTGAAATCATCATTATCAGATCCGTAATCTCTGTGACGTGAAGGAGAAGAAGAAAAGTGAGGTTCTGGTAAATTTTCATGGGAGGAAAATGACCGATTTCTTAAAGAAACAAAGAAAGTACATGTTAAGAAAGACAAGTGTGTAAAATAATTCAGTAATTCTAGTGAAAGTTCTTTTAGATTTTTTTAAAAAAAGTAACCAAAATTAGTTAGCATGAAAGGAATGTCTTAGTTATATAAGTGAGAGTATAATATTATTTTAGCAATATCAAAATTATAAAGTCTCAGAAGAATGATCTAATATCCCTGATCATTTAAATTGTGTAAAACAAAAGTGAAGGACAGAAATAAGTCTTTTAAATTATAGCACTCCCAAATACTTAAATAAATTTTTAAATAAATATAAAAAGTATAAAGAATATTGCTGCAAATTTTATGTCAAAGGTTTTACTTTTGAACCCAACAGCTGTATTAACAAGGTGCATATTTGTTTTAGAGAGTTTTCAAGGATTTACAGTTCTTAAATGAGAGGTTTGCTAGTAGACATTACTTATGAAATAAGCAACTGAAATCCAACACTTCCTCACTCCTTTGCTGATTACCTCAACTTGGTTAAAGGGATTAACATTACCTTCAGTCCTGAGGACTGATTTTCAGATGCAAACCTCTTCAGTATAAAATGAAGTGAGATGCAGCATTTTGTCTCAAGGTGATTCTGAGGAGTTACTGGAAATGTGCTTTAATATTAATTCCACTCTCTAATTTAAGAAAGTACAGAAATACTCTGGAGATCAGTTTCCCAACCTCAGGGCCTGATTCTGCAAACCATTACATGAGTAAAAGGAGGAAAAAAACCTAATTGCTCGTTATCCCAAAAATGTCATATAATAATATACTGAGGAACAACACTTGCTACTCCCTAAATCTGCTGTAACAGCAAAACAATACTTCACCTGTCTGAACACCATTCACGTGGCAAGTCGTCATGGTCATGAAAAGGTTGCAGTCTTTGTCCATGCCCCTTATTAACAAAATCAAAATCTTTCAACTGTGTCTGTTCCTGCAAGTCATCATAACCTTGATTGTCATGAAAAGGTCTGCGCCTTTGTCCAGGACCCCTATTATCAAAATCTTTCAATTGCATCTCTGTTTGTAAGTCATTGTGAGGCTGATGGTCATGAAAAGGTCTCAACCTATGCCCACGGCCCTTGTTAACAAATTCAAAATCTCCCAACTGCATCTGTGGTTGTAAGTCATCATGCGTTTGGTAGTCGTGAAAAGGTCTCAGCCTTTGCCCAGGCCCCTTGTTGATGAAATCTAAATCCTTCAACTGCATCTGTGCCTGAAATTCATCATGAGATTGGTGATCATGGAAAAGCCTTCGCCTCTGCCCACGGCCTCTGTTAACAAAGTCAAAATCTTTCAGCTGCATGTCATCCTGTAAGTCACTGTGAGATGGCTGATCAGGAAAGGGTCTCTGCCTTTGTCCACGGCCTCTATTAACATACTCAAAGTCTCTTGACTGCACGTCTCCCTGTAAGTCATCATGAAACTGGTGGCCATGAAAAGGTCTCAGTCTTTGTCCAGGCCCCTTGTTACTGAAATCTAGATCCTTCAGCTGCATGTCTTCTTGATAGTCATCATAAAACTGGTGGTCAGGAAAAGGTCTTCGCCTTTGTCCGGGTCCCCTGTTGTAGTCCCAATCTCTCATTTGCATTGGTGCTTGTAAATCATCCTGAGATTGGTGGTCATGAAATGGTCTTCGTCTTTGTCCCGGTCCCTTGTTAATGAAATCAAAATCTCTCAACTGTATCTGTCCTTGTAAATCATTGTGAGAGTGGTCATCGTCATAAATTCTTAATCTTTTCCCCGGCCTGTGAAGAAAATTAGTATTTTTAAACAGCTTATTTGCATTTATGTTATAAATATTTCAAGTTAGCCATCCAAACAAAGTAGCATTTTTTAAACTATTCAGGACTGAGAAGACATTATCACTCAAATATAAAGGTACTAAAATATTAACAGTCTAAACTATCTAATTATAGTATATATTATATGTATTCTATAACCTTGTCTCTTTCACCAACAGAAGTTGACCCAATAAAAAGATATTACTTCACCTCAACCACCTTGTCTTTCTAATTATATTATAAAACACATTCTATTGTCAAGACCGGGGTTCTCAAACTGGGGGTCGTGACCCCTCAGGGGGCTGCAAGGTTATTACATGGGAGGTCACGAGCTGCCAGCCTCCATTCCCAAACCCTGTTTTGTCTCCAGCATTTGTAATAGTGTTAAATGGAAAAAAAAAGTGGTTTTAATTTATAAGGGAGGGGTCACACTCAGAGGCCTGCTGTGTGAAAGGGGGTCACAATACAAAAATTTGAGAACCACTGGTCAAGACTGTGAAAACCACTATAATTCCATATCACTTTTTTCAGAGACAAGCAAACCCAAAATAACCCCATAGAAAACTAACAAGAAAATTCATACACAAACTACTGTACTAGAATGTTATCGAGGAACAGGAGATACAATACATGTCTCTTCCAAAACCAAAGGATAAAAACTTTTACCACATAAAAATTGCCCCAGTGAATCCAAAGTACTTGTAACGGAAGAGATCCTGTCCTAGTATTCTCTTGCTTTATCTTTTTATCACAACCTTAATTTAATTTAAAATAGGTATACTGAATTACTAGTACTGAAAATAGAACAGAACACCAATGTAACTATTCCAATAGTTATCTTTCACAGTACACTTTTTAAAAATGTAATATTTTTGCCAATTACCCAGGAAAATCTTCATTTGGGAACCTATCTACAGGTCCTTCCATTACATTTGGCGGGGGTATAATATCTTCATCAGGATCCCATACATCCATTCCAAGATTACTAGGGAAAATAAAAGCATTTAATGTAAAATTTCCTTTATTAAAAATACTGTTGAAAGAAAGTATGTACATTTTTTTCCAGTTGTGGAAATAAACTGGCATTATGGGAGTGCTGGAAAGCTAGGGAATCATAAAAGTGTAGGACTGGAAGGGACCTCAAGAGGTCATCTAGTCCAGTCCCCTGCGCTCAAGACAGGACTATGTGTACATTTGGGAGAATTTCAGTTTATTTTTTTCTGAGGAGGCTGATAGAAAAAGGCAAAGAAAATACTTTATACTTCACTGACATACAATATGACTCGTTGACCGTTGGGACAAAGCCCCATGGTTATTTGCAAAATTGTCCCTCAACTACATCACCCCTTCTCATATGAAAGTATACATGATACAAGCCAAAAGAAAAGGAGTACTTGTGGCACCTTAGAGACTAACCAATTTATTTGAGCATGAGCTTTCGTGAGCTACAGCTCACTTCATCGGATGCATATCGTGGAAACTGCAGCAGACTTAATATACACACAGAGAATATGAAACAATACCTCCTCCCCCAGGTATTGTTTCATATTCTCTGTGTGTATATTAAGTCTGCTGCAGTTTCCACGGTATGCATCCGATGAAGTGAGCTGTAGCTCACGAAAGCTCATGCTCAAATAAATTGGTTAGTCTCTAAGGTGCCACAAGTACTCCTTTTCTTTTTGCGAATACAGACTAACACGGCTGTTACTCTGAAACATGATACAAGCCACTACCCTCTGATCCCACTGAGGGTTACCAAAAGAAACTACACCATTCGCTCAAGAAACTCCCTCAAAAAGCACAAGAACAAATCCGCACAGACACATCCCTGGAACCCAGACCAGGGGTATTCTATCTGCTACCCAAGATCCATAAACCTGGAAATCCTGGACGCGCCATCATCTCAGGCATTGGCACCCTGACAGCAGGATTGTCTGGCTATGTGGACTCCCTCCTCAGGCCCTACACTACCAACACTCCTAGCTATCTTTGAGACACCACTGACTTCCTGAGGAAACTACAATCCATTGGTGATCTTCCTGAAAACACCATCCTGGCCACTATGGATGTAGAAGCCCTCTACACCAACATTCCACACAAAGATGGACTACAAGCCGTCAGGAACAGTATCCTCGATAATGTCATGGCAAATCTGGTGGCTGAACTTTGTCCTCACCCATAACTATTTCACATTTGGGGATAATGTATACCTTCAAATCAGCGGCACTGCCATGGGTACCCGCATGGCCACACAGTATGCCAACATTTTTATGGCTGACTTAGAACAACGCTTCCTCAGCTCTCATCCCCTAATGCCCCTACTCTACTTGCGCTACATTGATGACATCTTCATCGTCTGGACCCATGGAAAAGAAGCCCTTGAGGAATGCCACCATGATTTCTACAATTTCCATCCCACCATCAACCTCAGCCTGGATCAGTCCACACAATAGATCCACTTCCTGGATGCTATGGTGCTAATAAGCGATGGTCACATAAACACCACCCTATACCAGAAACCTACTGACTGCTATGCGTACCTACATGCCTCCAGCTTTCATCAAGACCACACCACACGATCCATTGTCTACAGTCAAGCTCTACAATACAACCACATTTGCTCCAACTCCTCAGACAGAGACAAACACCTACAAGATCTCTATCAAGCGTTCTTAGAACTACAATACCCACCTGCTGAAGTGAAGAAACAGACTGACAGAGCCAGAAGAGTCCCCAGAAGTTACCTACTACAGGACAGGCCCAACAAAGAAAATAACAGTACGTCACTAGCCATCACCTTCAGCCCCCAACTAAAACCTCTCCAACGCATCAAGGATCCACAACCTATCCTGAAGGACGACCCATCACCCTCACAGATATTGGGAGACAGGCCAGACCTTGCTTACAGACAGCCCCACAACCTGAAGCAAATACTCACCAGCAACCACACAACAGAACCACTAACCCAGGATCCTATCCTTGCAACAAAGCCTGTTGCCAACTGTGTCCACGTATCTATTCAGGTGACACCATCATAGGGCCTAATCACATCAGCCACAATATCAGAGGCTCGTTCACCTGCACATCTATCAATATGATATATGCCATCATGTGCCAGCAATGCCCCTCTGCCATGTACATTGGCCAAACTGGACAGTCTCTACGTAAAAGAATAAATGGACACAAATCAGATGTCAAGAATTATAACATTCAAAAACCAGTCGGAGAACACTTCAATCTCTCTGGTCACTCGATTACAGACCTAAAAGTGGCAATACTTCAATAGAAAAACTTCAAAAACAGACTCCAATGAGAGACTGCTGAAGTGGAATTAATTTGCAAACTGGATACAATTAACTTAGGCTTGACTAGAGACTGGGAGTGGATGGGTCATTACACAAAGTAAAACTATTTCCCCATGTTTATTTCCCCACCCCCCCACTGTTCCTCAGACGTTCTTGTCAATTGGTGGAAATGGCCCACCTTGATTATCACTACGAAAGGTTCCCCTCCTGCTAGTAATAGCTCACCTTACCTGATCACTCTCATTACAGTGTGTATGGTAACACCCATTGTTTCATGTTCTCTGTGTATATAAATCTCCCCACTGTATTTTCCACTGAATGCATCCGATGAAGTGAGCTGTAGCTCACGAAAGCTTATGCTCAAATAAATTTGTTAGTCTACAAGGTGCCACAAGTACTCCTTTTCTTTTTAGTACAGAAAAGTTTCCCTATTTACATTCTCATAATACAGGAACAAGGGACATTCAGTGAAACTGAAAGGCCAAAAAATATAATTAAAAAACCAAGAGAGCTTACAACTTCACTGCTACAATGATATCAAAAAGGCAAAAGAGTTTTTGGAGAACAGATGGATTAGAATGACATCTACAGTTACATTAGATTGGATTTGTTTAAAATAAGGAATATAAATCCTCTTGCTTCAAGGCATAAGTCTGCTACTGACAGACGGGCTAGGAAGAATCTTCCCTTCCGGGCCCAGTCTGCTGCAGGGTCTGTTGCATCTTCCACTGAAATACCTGGTACTGGCCACTGATAGAAACAAGAGAGCAGGCTAGATAGACCACAGGTCTGCTCTGGAATGGCAATTCCCTAGACAGCATATCCGGAAAAGTTAACAGATCCAGACTCTGGCAGGCTCAGAGGAGAGAGTGAATTCCAGAGTTAAGGGGCCCCTCACCAATAATTTTTTGCCAGCTGCTCCTTCCCATTTATAACTCTGCTGAATGCACCTAAGGAAGTAGGACACAACAACAGAAGAATTTAATAAGAAAAATCAACTTTAAAAGAGAACCCTTTGCATGATGTACATTTATAAGATAAACCTAAGGGGAAAATTACACTTCATACCATTCATAACAGAAGTCTTCAAAGATAAGCACTGATTGTGTAATAGGACAAGAGGCAACATTTTAAATATGACCCAAGCATTGACAATGCAAGGAACTGCATTTGACAACTTCAATTATGTAATTAAAAGCCTTTGCCTACCTTCTCATTGGCTGAGTTCTGAGATCTGTTAGGTATACAAGACCGTCCATACGATGACCTCTAGCATCACCAAAAGCTGAAGAAAATTGTAAAAAGATTAGCGTGTGCAGTTAAACATGCTTGGAACACAACTCCATATAATGTGGTCAGTCAGGGCTCCATGTAAACCGTGGCACAGTGAACCTGAAGTAAGTTCACTATTGATTCCTGTGACTCAGTTTTAAATTGCAGCAGACTGTCATTTTTGCAGTAAACTGTTTTCCAACTGTAACTATTGCAGTTGTTACTATGATTGCACCAATACACAGAAACCTTCAAAACCTATAATGGGGTTGGAGGGAGGGAACTGTCCTCTTGATGTGGTTCAGATCTGATGGTGCTCAAATACTGCCAGGCATGGAAGCAGCAGGAAGATGGATTAATCTGTGGGAACCTGTGCAGGAGTTAAGTATGAGGTAGCTGTCACAGAACCACTGTAGACACAGAGCCTCATGTTCTGTTCAAGTTCTACGAAATACCTTGAATTGCTGTCTCTGGATCCCAACCTTCAACATCAATAAGGTATCTGACAAAAAACATGGCTGAATTATTATAAAGGTATATATTATCACTGATATAAACATACTATTCTAATTAAAAAAATTATCTGAATTTTCATGTAATACTTGCCTACACATAAGGTAGCCAGTTCTATTAATTCCATTGGTACAATGAACTCCAATGAGTTTATCTATTACAAAGGAAAAAAGTGTGAAAAAATGAAAATACCAAAAAATAATGAGTGCAAAACAGAAGCCATTTATTGTTTACACTAAAACAGTTTCAGTGAGCATGTTTGCTGTTTGAAAAATTATTACTATTAAGCCTGTACACATCAGGATATATAGCCAGAATTTATGTTCTTCCTGCTGGATTTGTAGCAGCAGTTAACTCAATGCTTCCCACTTCCCAACCTAAACTAGTCCAGGCAGGGCACAGAAAAAAGAAAGGGAAAACTGGTGATAAGAAAAGCTGCCTGACTAGATAACCATCAACCACACTGTGATAACGAAACTGAATAAAGTGACTAGAACAAAACATGACTGACTTTGAGGGCAAGTTTAAACAGCCACCAAACTTACTTTCACAAGGAGTTCACTTACAGATTCTCCTGAACCCTTCCAAAAGCAAAAACACTGAAGTCAGCCTGGCAGCCTACTGGTAATGAAATGCACTACCAGAGGGATCCAAGTACACGAGTCTAAATTTGGCCCATTACTCCTGGGATGGCAGATGCCTGAGGTATTGCGGAGGCAGTGCATTTAGCTTCTTGCTTTGTATTGCCATCTCTAGTCAAACTTTGGAGAAAGCTGTGTCTCTTGATCCAGCTGCAAACTAGGAAGTTGGGGTTCTGACCAACATTCAGAACAAAACACTCCGACCCAAAGGGCCCCTAAATGAATGCCTTTGTCACATCTAAATCATTAGATTATGCAGGACAGAAACTCCCTACACTTCAGTTCATAAGCCAAAAACAGCAACCAAGGAGCCAGAACATTAACTAAAGGGATAAGAAAGAACCATCTCAGAATATCGTTCTTTTCCAACACTTCAAATTTGGGCTCTGGTATATGAGATTTACGTCCACCTGCAAACTGGCTATCCACAACAGAAGCATACATCTTATCTGAGGCAGAGCAGTGCAATGAGGTAGAGCAACTTTGGCAATGGAAATTTTCTGACACAAACCATTACAGAGCTATCACAGTAAGAAACCAGGAGGGGCTCAACAGAGCAGTCTCCTGAGTCAGGCACACAGCTGAATGACTCTCAGCTGCCAGTAAAGATTTGTTCCAAAAGATGCTGAACGGAGTTGTGCAAGAGCCTGCAGTACTAAGGGAAAGATAAAAAGAGATACACATGTAGGTTGTAGCAGGATGTGTGCAGAGTTCTTCCATGCATAGAGCTGTCACACCAGCCTGGGGAGAACTGTGCAACAGCTCTGCACAAACACTATGTAAACTCCCAATCACCTCTATAACTGTATCATGCTCTTAAAGAATTACTAGCTTCATGAGAGCAAAGGAGTATCCAGCTACCATCAAAAAATCTTAACATGATGCCCTGTAGCTACTAAACTTTATAACCAATTAGCTAAATGACATCTTCATGCTCTTGAGCTATGTCCTTGACTCCTAATTCAGAGAACTCAAGGTCACACTACTAAGTGGTTCTGCTATGAAGAAGAGGGTGGAGATCAGACAGGAGGCTATCACATTACATGCCTTCAACAGGGTAAGGCTACCTTATAGATCACAATGAAAGAAGAAAAAGTATGATCAGAAAATCCTTGATTGTGTCCAATTACAAAAACACAGAAAGTGTTATGAAAAGTATTATTTCTTATACACAGAACTATGCCAGTGGCTCTCAAGCTGTGGTCTGTGAACCAGCAGTGATCCATGAATTGCCTGCTGGTCACATGGTACTAGCTCTCCTTGTTTTCAGCAGGCACATCACATTAAATACAGCTAAAAATATGACACTATTAGGAAGGCTGTCCGTGTAATAAATGCTGTAGCTGATATGAGCATTTTGGAGTGGCAAAAGGGATAGGAGATGGTCCATGAGATTATGAAGTTACAAAACTGGATCACACTATGAAAAAGTTTGAGAAACCTGACCTGTAGAAGTGAATATCTATTGTGATTAATAAATCACACATTGAAGATTTAAGTAACATTTTGGTCTTTTATAGCATTAAAAATGCTGTTAATTACCATTTCCTGCATTTTCCCAAAGGAACTTTCTGACCCATTTTTTGAATTGTAGAATAGTAGCATTATCGGGGACTTCAAGTCCAACAGTATACAGTTTCTTATACTGCACACTTTTAGGTAAATCCTAGCAACAACAAGGAGAAAAAAACAGCAACAATCATTAGTCATTAAAATCTTGTACCACCATAAAACTTACAAACAATATATTAAAAAAAAAAACAGATGTAAGTCACTTGTTCAAATCAATCAGTAGTGATTGAAAATGATCATTACATAGTTATATTAGAAAAGCTGTACTCACAAAAACTGCCATAGCAAATTGACTCTTCCCAACAAAAGGGCTACCTCAAGCAAAGAGATCTAGGTTTGTAATGGAGACTGAACTTTCAATACCCTTTCAATACCTCCTGGTCACAGTAGATGCACGCTGGTGGGATTGACTAAGGAAGCTTGTACTGCCATTCAAATCCTCTTCATGAAGAGTATCAAACTTCACCTCCTCTCCCTTACTTATTTTATCCCATTACAGTGTATATTCAAGGGTCTACATTTAGTAACACATGTTTTTATTTACTCTGGCACAGAGCACATTAAAAGGATACTCGCAATTACAATGTAAATTTTTTTTTAAATCAGTGTAGAGTTAATCTGTGGAATCCATTCATACAGCATAATAGTGAAAGAAATATTATATTTTTAAAAAGATTTAGATATAGCATCTGTCTTCAGGGCGGGGCCATGTCTTTCTGTGTGTTTGTGCGAACATAGTAGTCTTAATCAGTGAATCTGGGAACTACAGTACTATAAATAAATATAATGATCAAATGCTAGTAAAGTTCCTGAATGAAGCCATAATTGAACGCTAGCTGAGGTTAAGATGTTCTTTCCTTCATGATACAATTCTGCATAAACTTCTGCTGGAAACACGATACCAGATTAGATGGTTCACTTGTCTGTTCCAACATAACAATTTCTAGATTGACATTAAATAACACAAGATAAAAGGTAGCAGTAATTGTGCTTTTAATTCTGCTATTACTCCTTTACTATTACCTTAACTTCATAATACCGTGTGGTGTATGTTAAGTCAATAATTAATCCAAGTTCCACATTTAGGGCTTTCATTGCAGCAATCAGGTCTTTGGGTGTAAATTTCTGGGTTGGAGTAAGTCTCTGGTTAATTGCCTGTGATGAAAAAGGAAAACGAAGACTGTGTTTTACAAATTCCAATAAAAATAGAAACATCTGCCTCTTATAAAATGAATCAAGAACAAGAAGAAACATAGGCATTCAATGTATTGTGTGGATTCAAAAACTATATTGAGATGGAACTGATGACCCAAAATAAGTTAATGATTTTATTGTATGATATGATGACAACAGATAACATGGATAAGGCAGGCTATCATGTGGCAGCAGCTCCAGCGCAATAAGCACTAATTTCATATCAAGAAAAAAGTCTTGCACAATGAAGAATGAATATAACAATTTAAAGTAATTCCTTGAACACATACAAATTTAACATTGATGTCAATAAGCAAAACAAAATACAAAAATCTTACCCACTTGCTCTGCAAAAAATCCCAAACAACTGGTCTATTCTACATAAAAACTAGGGAGCTCTGATAGGACAGCTTACTGGCTTCCTTCTCTTCCCACAGATGTTGGGGATACTTATTTTTCCCTGCCTGTTTGCTTTCTCCTCTGTCACTCATGTTATTGGATGCAACATAAATTTGTCATTTAGCATTAAGATAATTTTTTCCCATATATTTGAAGCAAGGTCTTTATCAGGATTGAAGTGAGTGTAAGAAGAATGTAGACAGCAGCAAAAAATTCTCTAATGAGCATCAGGGCCAGGCAAAGTATCAGGGAGCCTAAACAGCTCCATGACAGCTTCCAGTCTCTGCTTTGACCAGCATAAGCTCAGCAAAACAGAGAATCTGGCCAACCATGTGAAACAGATTAAGATGGAATTTACATACAAGATGCTGTCTACATACCATTAGAGAGCATTTAAAACGTTTCTTTAAAATATACTTCTTTTGTCCATTTCTGTGCAATTTACAGGAACAGGATACGGAGACATACATTTATAGTCACCATTTCAAAAGTGGTCCAGTGACCACTATCCTTTAATGTGTGATCATCATGTATGTGAAATTAATTTCTGCTTTATGTCAAATGGACAGTTATCCACATCACAAAAATCACCACCACAAGTAGGACTCTTGTTACAGCAGTTTCAGAAGATGCAAAAGACTGGGCTCAAGCCTGAACCGACGCACTCCAGAAGCACTAAATTCTGTAATTTAAAATGATTAAATGAATGGTGCAGATTAGCTGGTGAAAACAACGAGGAGTCCTTTGTGGCACCTTCGAGACTAACAAATTTATTTGGGCATAAGCTTTTGTGGGCTAGAACCCACTTCAGCAGATGCATGGAGGGGAAAATAGTGGAGAGGGTATAAATACATGAAAAGATGGGAGTTGTCTTACCAAGCGTGAGGTCAGCCTAATGAGACTGGTTGAGAAAGTCATGATGTATAAGAGATAAGTAAACATACTCAGTAACACCAAGTACCAGTCTACACAAGAAAAGCGAATAACATCTTTAGTTTATGGAAAGCTCATTGGAAAAGGACTGAATGTGCTAAATACTAATTTTAATAGAAAAATAATTTCTGTAATTTTTCACCTTGAATCTGTTCTGCAGTTTGCATATGAATGTGAATGCTATTTTCCATAATTCTTCACACTGCAATTAATACAGACTGACAAACAGCACTTTATACATACCCCTTTCAAAGGCACTTTGAAAGCAATGAATCTTGTTCCTGGTATAGGCTGTCCAACTGGTGTCAAAGTCCGCCATCTTTTATGAAAAAAAAAATTTGTATTTTTTTCTGAATACTTGAAGGATAAAATACTTTTCAAACTATACTAATTTGATACAGGACACCTGAAGTTTCATATAAAACAGCTATTTCTGTAATAAAGTTTATTCTTCTTTGGAGTAAGCTTTCCTCAACAAAAGCACAAAAAAACCCTGCTCTTTTTGGTCTCAGGATAAATTTCAAGCTACATTAAATGTCTTATAAACAGCAGACTTTGCTGCTCCCACATCACCCCAAACAGAAAGATGTAAATAGCATCCTAGTCTCCCTGATGGATCATACAGCTACTTGCTTGACATGTCAAGGGCCAGATTTCCCAAAAAACTTCAGAACCAAGCAGCAGTCCTAGCTGGGCATCTAAGTGAAGTGGTCAGGTTTTCTAAGTGCTTATCTGGCTACGTTATTAAGGTGCCTAAATAGAAACTGAACTCTTCTGAAAAATCTGCCTTATTTCAGCAGGAGGAGATATTTTGATTTAAATAAATCCAAAATAAATAGTATTAGCTAGCATGACTATTGAAACATTACTATTGTTTTGTTTCAATATCACACATTTGAATAATGTTAATAAATTACTGGGGGGAGGGGGGGCGAGAATTCATTTATTCCACAGCCAGAAGGGACCACTGTCATCATCTAGTCTAGCGGTTCTCAAACTGTGGGTCGTGACCCCAAAGTGGGTCGTGACTCAATTTTAATGGGGTCACCAGGGCCAGCATTAGACTTACTGTGACCCAGGGCTGAAGCTGAAGCCTGAGGTCCACCCCCACCTGGGGCAATGGGGTTTGAGCTCCAGCTCCCTCTCCCCCGACCTGGGGCGGCAGGGCTTGGCCTGAGGCCCTCTTTCCCTCCACCCGCCCCAACAGGGTGGCAGGGCTTGGGCTCTGCCCCCCCGCCCCTCCAGGTCATGTAGTAACTTTCTTGTCAGAAGGAGGGTCGCACTGCAATGAAGTTTGAGAACCCCTGATTTAGTCTGATGTCCTGTATAACACAGGCCACATAATTTCCCCAATTTTATTCCTAGACTATATCTTTTAGAAAAACATCCAATATTGATGTAAAAGTTGCCAATGACAAAGAATCCACCATGAGCCTTCATAATGGGGAAAGGTGCCTACAATGCTGGAAGAACATAAGTAGAGTATTATTTAGGTGAGTCAGAATATAGAATTAGCATTTCTCAGAGCACAAAGATTCTTCCATTATTCAGCACAGCTACACAAATTATATGGAGAGATCACTGGCCCTCCATAACTAAGTCTGCAACCAGGTTTCCATTATAAGACCAATCTTCACTGATCTTCTAACAAAGCACAAGAAAAATATTTTCTAGTCATAGTTTTTGTGATCACTGTTAGTATAGAATGGGATTTTGTCCATAAATTTCAAGTAATTAAATGAAATGGTTCTGAAGTTACAAGTTAAAAATTAGTCCTTTGCACATGTTGCCAAAATGCTAACTGTGTACTACATATGCACCTGGGTCTCAGTGACTTATAAATTAAACTGTATCCCCTGAACCCATCAAGGAGCAATTCTACATTATTTTAATACGGAAGCTCATGACATGTTACAGGACTTGTTAAAATTTACACAGGAAGTTTGGGGCAGGAAACAGAATATATTTATCTAAGGTAGCAAATCTGCTAAACCACAGATCTCTGTATCTGATGCTTACTGATCTGTAGAATAGGGCCACTCAAGTTTATCTAGCTTTGTCAATTGTTTTAAAATCTACAGAGGAAAAGTCAGATATAAGCATAGTCTGTTTTACAGAAGGGTAAATAGGCACAAAATACTGTGGGATGGACTTTAGGCCAGCAGAGGAAAGAAAAAGCTTGTCCTCTTTAAGGATTGCTGCACTATGCACCCCTGGGCTTGAGGGCAGGAGATAGAGGGCCTCTGTGGCTAACTGTTTGGGCAGCAGCATATAAGTTTACTGCCTCCCATGTACTCAAGGGAAGATCTATAAGCCCTTCCCCATGCCCAACGGTGATATTATGCACTATGAAGAAAAACTGACTGATTTGCCTGAATGGCACTGCAGTGGGATTGGCTAGGCCATTGCCTGTAAGCCTGGATCTGTTGTGTGAAATCGGGCAAGTGAGTTATTTTTCTCACACAATCTGTAATGTGGTACCCTCTTTGCAAGGAGCTTTGTGAGCTACAGATGAAAATACACTATATAATTGCAAAGCATTTTTATTAGACATTTTTCATGTTTAGGGCAGCGGGAAGTTCAAGGACCTGGCTGGGAGGCAAGGTTTATCTATTGCAATATACATGGGCCTAGCAGATAGAGACACAAATGGAAAACCTGGTTCTAATATTAATTTTCCATGTGATCTTGAACAATGGAGGGCTTGTATCAATTAAGGAAACTTGCTAATTATATTAGTGTAAACTTCCCTTATCTAGACAAATCCTTAATTTTTCTGAGCAATAATTTTACAATCTGTAAAATGGGTGTAGTGATAGTTACCCACTTCCTAAAAGTGTTACAAAGTCCACTTAAATGTGTGTAAAGTGCTAAGAGTAAAGTATTAAAGATATACTGTCACTTTATTCTTATTATTTAACATTTACATTGCAGTAGCACTTAAAGGCCAAGGAGGTTGGGGCTCCATTGTGCTACTTAAAAATGTGGTCAGTTTCTGAAATGTGATCAGTTTCAAAATGAGTTAAGTTTCAGTTACAAAACATGTCCCTAGGTATCCACTGCTGATTTTTGGTGGTTTTAATATTATTTTCCTATTTTTAAAAATGTTTTTCTCCCCCCGTTGCTGTGCTGAAGATCCACACAAACGAAAGAAACAAACAAACTATCCCCAAGGTGCATTTGACAGCACTATCTCAAAGCCCCAAATAAGTGGTTACTTTTTATTGTAGTTTTTAAGTGTCCTCTAAAGTTTTGTAGTAGCAGAGCTGAGAATAGAACAAAGGAGATCAGCCTTGCAACACTGTATTCATTACTTTAATTCATGTGGCCTCCAGGGTGTCACAACCACACTGGAAACTCCTGAAAGTGCTTGTAAGGTTTAAACTTTTGAAGTCCAGCAAATTACACTAAAGTGCTTCACAGTGCTCCCAATATTCAAAGCCAGGAGAGATGGAGCAGAAAAAAGGCCAAAGCCTACTGGCCATGTACACCCTAATGTCCTAGACAACAGACTGAGCACAGAAACTTAAAAATTCCTACTTTTTGTGTGTGAAAATGCTTTCAATGATCACTACTTCAAAACTACTGAACCAATTTCCTTCAAACTCAGTTTTCTCCTTAGATCTCATTAACAGCCATAAAACAACACAATCTTGAAGGAAATTGATCTAGTCTCTATGTTTGTGCAAAACCTGTGCTCAGAACATATAGGGAAAGTACATATTTTACACATAATGAACTAATAAATATCTGAATGAATTCCGCTGAAACTCTCTTCTGGGTAAAGATCAAGTACAGAAAAATTTCCAGTCCCCAATTAATTGGTTTGAGTAAGTTATAAGCAACTTAAGTAGGGGGTTTAAAGAAAGTTGCATTTCAACCTACCATTCTCACTATAATAAAATGGCACACACACAAAAAAAAATCACCTAGATTCTACCTAACAGTTCTAATAAATGTGCCTTATACGATGCACTAAAAAGTTGATAAGTATCTGGCTAGTATAATTTATTTTGGAAAAGGAGGAGAAAAAAAAAGATTGAGAGACACCCAAAGTCAAATTATGTCAAGTATGTGATCATAGAAGTCACAAAAATCTGGTTGTCATCATAAATAAAGGAAACAACAAAAGACAATATCCTTTGCAGGCAGTTAAGAGAGTTAGGACTTTTTCTTTAAAAAAACAAACAAACTTGTGTACAGTAAGCATTTCAGAGGTAAAGGCTTGTAAACAACAAAATATTTGTAGGGAGTTAAAATGTGATTTGTAAAATTTCTTTTCACATTTTAATGTAACCAACACTGATCTCAGCATTAGAAAAATTGGATTTCATCGGATACGAATTTTCATTTTGTTTATAAAGGCCATTGTACATTAAAAGAGTATATTGATTAGTGTTCTGTAAGGCCAAAATATATTTTTAAATAGTTTGAAAACTGGAGAGTTTGTTTGTGGAATTGGACACACAGAAGTTGTTAGATGTGCAACAGTATTTATTTTTAACTGGACTAATTGCCTAACCCACAGCAATTATTTTCACAGAAGCATTCTACTGCATGCTCACCTGTGCACTTATTGAAAATTTAACCCTCAGCTTCCTGCTGCAGTGAATTTACCAGTTTGTTACAGAGATCTGTTTATTGACAACAGTACATTTAATCTTTATTTTTAATTAATCAAGAGCAAATATTGGACTGTTGCATCACTAAATGGATCAGACAGAAACTGCAGCCTGACTACAAGGGAGAATGTTATTTACACACAAATATATCAATAAGTAAATTTAAAAAGGTAGTTTAATGAGATTTTAGTCACTGATCAAAAACTTTCTGCTGGACTCCACTGTACACGATAGTGTCCTATTTATTGGTAGCCTCTGCACACATTTCTAAAGCACCCAAAGTAATAACCAAGAAGGGCTGAACATGGGCACTTCTGTGGTCACCTATGTGAAAAAGGGGACAATGAGGGACCTACTTACCCTACCTATTCATGTTGAGATGGCATTAGATAAATTAAAATTGGATAAATTAAAAACAAACAATAAAACCCCCAGATCCCTCTGTCTTCTGGAAATGGGGTGAACATGGGAAGGAAAAACTATGAAAACCCAAGATTAGGGCTTCTAGGAACTACAGTAATATAAACAGTACTAATGAACAGAATGACACAGCAATTTCTGAGACACCAATACTGACAGATAGTTCATATACAGCAGTTTATTATAAAGTTCAAAACAGCTTCAGCTTCCTCCAAGACCACATTTGTCAAGTAATCCTTCTTTCAATTATTTTGGAAAACCAAACTACATTAAACAAGTTACATATGTAATATATAATTATCATATAAGTTCACTGGCACAATAGGTCAGTTGTGGTCTATCAACCTAACAACCATCCCTTTCATCATTAAAAATTGTTGCAGCATAAGCAGTGGGCTAACCTGAAATGGTCCAAGCCCATATTTTGTATTTTTGAAGTTACTGATATAGATAAAAATAAGGACTTACACCTTCAACATTAGATATGTGTGTGCGCACGCATTGATTCGTTGAAAACCAGTTTTGCTAGATAACAGCACCTAAACCATGCCTTGAACGTAGTCCAGTTGCATTTACTATTTCCACAGCATTCTAAAGAGCTTAAGTAGTGCATGACATGCAACATGATTCCATACCAGAACAGATGCAGAGTGGTAACCCTTTTTGTGTGTTTGTGAAAAATGTGTTTAGATTAAAAATCAAGTTATCTTGCAGTCCAAGCTTTCATAAGGTAATATACACTGTTTATCCTTCTAGTTCCATATGTTCTCATAAGGGATTAAAATGCATTTTAAAAGCTTTAACTTTTCAATCTCTGTGTAACAGGGCACACATTTTTAAGGGTAGGAGGAAAAGAAAATACCATTGCCAATCAGCCATTGTTTTCATTCTTCTTACCCAGCTTGCAAAATGGTTGCAAAATTCAACAACCGAGGTAGAAAAATCTATTCAGCTGCCCTATTGCAAGATGACTGATGAAAATGAAAAGTTTGGTATTTTACTTCCAAGTTTAAAAAAAAATGAAAAATTACTTGCTTTGGACAAATGGAATTTTGCAAAATTGTTTAGTTTGCTGTCAAATTCTTACTCAAAGCATTCTTTATTCAACCTACTTCTGGCACCTTCAAAACAGTACGGCGTTAATCTACAAAACAAGAGTAACAAGAAATTAATACTTTTTAGCCTTGTGCAGATGTGTTACAATGTGGAAAAGTTTTGCAAAACAGGCACAGAAAAGCTGTGTGCCAATTTAATACAGGTGTAGAAAAGCTCAGTGTCTAACTCTGAATCCAGATTTTCTCACTAAAAACCGTAAAAGCTATGTTGGTAAAACAAATTGCATAGAATTCTGGGTATTTAAAATTGAAAAATGTGAAAAGTGTTTATTTGGAGGGGCGAACAAGTCAATTAGCAGCACTGAAGCTGACCCCAGGGTGGTACCAAGGCGTCTAGTTCTTAAGCCACCTGCAGACAGAGTATCTCCCAGACAACTCAAGATGCAGCTTGATGACACGACAGCTACCTGGATTCTGTGAGGCTTTTGGTCAGTATCTCAACTGTTAAAATTCTTTAAGCCCATGATTTTCTGAGTTAAGGTTTAAATGAATCTTCCTCCTTGAAGGGAAAAACCTACTGCAAGCACAGGAGTTTTCCTGCTTTGCAGAGAATGGTTTAAATAAATACATGGAAACAGATTTAGCATGTCCTGTTTTAAAAACATGTTGTCCACTATTTCCTAATTCACCCCCTCATGAATGAAGAAATGGAGTTTGAGTAGGGGCATTTCTCAATGAAAACCACTTAACTTCACGCTCATTTTATCATTTATTTTACAATGTATGACTGACACTTCAGAAGAAGTAGAACACATTAGCTGGCCCCAGGAGCTCATCTTCTAAGTTAGAGGTAACATAAGAGTTATTACAACAGATGATGGGGACAGGAAGAACAATAATTCAAAACAGGCATGTTTCGTAGGTCTCATTAGCTTCAAGGATTTTCACCTTTTGTTATTTTATCGTCATTTGGCAGAATAGGATCACGAGTACATAAAAGTAGAGCAAGGGTAGTTCTAACAGGAAAAAGTTGAGAGATAGAAATTCAAGAAGAGGTCAAAAATACTGGGACTGATCAGCTTAGAAAAGAAAAAAAACTAAGGGGGGATATGATAAAGGTCAGTAAAATCATGACTGGTGTGCAGAAAGCGAATAGGGTAGTATTATTTTCCCCTTCACATAACACAGAAACTACAGTAGAACCTCGAAGATACAAACAACAGTTACAGACTGACCAGTTAACTGAACCCCATGTGAAAACAGAAGTAAGCAATCAGGCAGCAGTGGAGACCAAACAAACACACAAACAAACCAGGAAATACTGTACTGTGCCTATATTGCATCTTAAAGGTAGGCACATCTGGGCTGCCTGTCCCCCATCCCCACCTTGCCACATGGGGCACAGCTGGCAAGAGCAACCCTGGAGTCTTGCTGCTTTCTTGTAAGTCATGGACGAAGTCCTCTCCCCTGCCAAGAGGGACAAGCTTGCATGCTCAGTCTGAGCCTGGGAAAGAAACTTCCTGAGCTCCTGCTGGAACCTACCTGGGAGTGTTTGTTGTTGGAGCCCAAACTCAAGCTCATGCCTGCCCAGTGTGCTCTGGAGGAGCAGCTCAGTTTTAAAAAGCGATAGCCTGCACCCCGTGCCCACGCCTGCACCCCGCGCCTCAGTTCTACAGTGTGCCTTGCTCATCACCCTTGCAGCCAGGGGGCCAGAACCAGCTGCCTGTCTCCACCCCATGCACTGGGTAGCCCCTTATAGGTATGAAATAAAGCATCTGAAGTTTGCAGGCTCAGATGTGAGACCCCCTCCAAGCAGTCTGCCTTGAGGAGCATCCCATAATGTCTTATTCAGAGTTACAATCAACCTCCATTCCCAAGGTGTCTGTGACTCTGAGGTTCTACTGTATGAAATTAATAGGCAGCAGGTTTAAAACAAACGTAAAAAAATCTTTACACAACGCATGGTCAACCTGTGGAATTTGTTGCCATGGGATATCATGGATGCCACAGGCTAAGAAAAGAACTAGCTAGGTTCACAGAGGATCAGTCCATCAATGGCTATTAGCCAAAATGGTCAGAGATGTAACCAGACATCGCTAAAATCTCTGACTGCCAGAAGCTGGGACTCAATGGCAGAGGATGGATAACTAGATAATTGCCCTTTTCTGTTCATTCCCTCTGAAGCATCTGGCATTGGCGACTGTTTGAAGACAGGACACTGGGCTAGATGGACAATGGCAAATTTTCTACACCCCCTTCTCTCAATTAAGCATGTGAAAAACTCTCCATTCCAGTTCTGAGTCCTCCCAAGGAAACTCACCAAAACCAATGTCTCAATATTCTGAAATTTCTAACAGGTATAAAATAAGCAGAAGGAAGACAACAAACTTTCAGATACTCTTTATCTATCAGAAGAAACAAAGGGTACAATTCTCCCTTTACAGGTTACCTTTAAGAGTAGTGTATGGGGCACACCAGAGAAGGAAAAGATAAAAGATCTGTAGAGAACAACAGAGGGTTAAGATGAAATAAAGCATAGGACGGTGCAGAGCTATGAAGGGAAGAAATCTGAACTTGTTCTGGAATACAAGAAGAATCCAGTGAAGGAACAGGGGATGGAGAAGGAGGAAAAGAAGATGTGGTTAGAGCTATCAAAGAGGAAGTTTCTAGTAGTAGAGTTTTGGAGAAATGGGGAGAGTTAAGAAGTTGTGGGAGGCCAGAGAAATGATAGTTACAATAGTGGAGACATGAATAAATATTTTAGGGTGGAGGGGAAATTGCCTCAGCGGAAGTCTGTGAGCCTAGATATAGGGCAGAAGGTATTAGAAGTCAAAGATGATATCAAGACTAGAGACAGGGTGACAGGAAAATGGTAGTTTTGTCAACAACAATGGAAACAAAGGCTTGAGTGAAAAAGCAAATTCTTGGAGAAACTGAGCTGGAAGCAGCTGACAATCCAAGAGGAGTTATTAGAAAAATTAAGCAATGCTTGACTAGAGAAATAATGAAAGGTTAGGGACAGAAGTATATCTAGAAATTATCAGGATAGAAGTGACAGCTGAATCTATGTGATTGATTGAGACATGCAGAAAGAAGCTATGGAGGCAGATGATAAAGGAATCAAGGATGGAACCATAGGGACTCAAAGGAATACTGGAGAAGTCCTGAAGTAGTACTCGGGAGGTAAGAGGAAGAACCAAAAGTGTTAAGAAAATGCAGGAACAAGTGTGAAAGGAACAGCTAACTGTCAAATAGGAGATAGTCCACGCACAATTAATTAAAATACAGTCTCATTGCACATGTAATTTTCCAACCTCTGGAAGGAAGAGCATATATGCTGATCTGCTGTCAGCATCTTAAAAAGGTGTGTGTGAGGAATACAAGTCAAATCTCACCTTTAAATCTGCATCAGAATGGCTACACATCTTTGAAAGCCTCTCATGGCCCCACTGTCTAAATTCAAATTTCCTGGGTTTTATAGTGCCCACAGGTTTATTGTTCTAACAGAAAAGCCTTTAAGATTATACATTTGTGCACACCTAAATCAATAAGTGACATATTGCGCATACACAGTACTTTTTTAGTCATTATCTTTATTTCTCTAATTTTTCAGACTTGCAAACATTCCATATGACTATATACATAAAGATTTGATATCTTTAAAAAAGCCATTTGAGTTATGCAAATATTTAAATAAGTCTTAAACTTTTTTCTACGCATGGAAACATTTTGTGCCCATCCCCTCCCCCAAATGCACTACCACCTCAAAGCACATAGAATTTTACCTGTTTTTCTAAACAAAAGGCAAGTGTCTCACTTTTGAAATGAGAACAAGCATTAAAACTTCAAGCTCAGACTAATTTTTTCCAGAAAGTTATTTGGGTCTGAAAACAGGGGCTTCAAATAAAAATAACATCTTAACTATATTATTGTTATAAAAGTATTCTAGCTACCTACTTTAGAAAAGGTATATGAATAGTATTCTTAAGTCTGGTTTACTTGAAAACTTACCCCTCTTTCATCCTTTTAAAATTAACATTTATATATTTAAAGAGTTTCAGAGATCTGCCACAACAGATGGAAACCCTCTTAAAAACAAAGTAAGAAAGCTCCCATCACATTTAGTTACATATATCCTGGTAACAAGTATAAGGGAACAAGGCTGACCCGGGGTCAAATGGCTATGTATTTAATAGTGAACCAATGGCAATGGTCCCTTGTTGTACCAGGATGGAGAAAAGGAAGAAAATGGAAACTTAGGAAAGAGCTCGTTTGAAGCGTGATTGAAGATCGGTGACAGGCTCTAAACGTAAGAGTCTAATCTGATGTGGGTACAAGAGGGAGCAATTCTAGAAAGAGATGGACACAGAAAGATGAGCTTACCCTAAGTTAATAAGATGACCATAAATAAATTAGGTTACTGACCCTGAACATTTTCAGTTAGGCTCCGAGACAGATGTCTGACAGCAAGGAAATTACTTCAACAAACCATGTTACAAATGTTGTTTTGGACAGAAGACTTGCAGATCACTCTTATAAATACAAGTTATATTTGATAAGAATGGCTTACTGCTTTGATTTTTAACAGACTGGATAATTTATATTAAGAGACTAGATATCATTGAAGTAGAACCACTAACTATCATCCACCTGAACAGTCATAAAATAGAGGTCAAACAGAGGTGCAAATATTAGCAATATTTGCAGTTATGTCTGTTCAATGCAACATTGGTAACACCAAAACAGTAAATCATATTTTAATAATAAAGTTAGCAGTTGTTTTCACCTATGTGAACAGTCAATCTAAATGATAACATAAAAAAATGCACTTTGGGAATCACTGTTATCTAGTGAATGAATTCAGTTTTTTGACTGCTGCAGTAGATCCCACTGTGTATCAGTTCTTGGAAAAAGCTTACTGGTATCTTCTCAACAGGAAAGTAAAATTATATTAGAACAAGTTGCAGATAAAATATGCAATGAGTTACCTTCATTGTACTTATTTTGTACATTTCACACTCAATTTAGACATACTTTGGTTTTTATTTTCAAGCACAAGATTTACTTGCCTACCTTTTCCATAGGTAAC